GAATGTCTTTATTGAGTAGAATTTTGCCAAGCCACTTTACAAACTTCCAGTCAAGCTTAGGTGCCAGTACCTTGGTCTAATCTATTGTGGGCAAGATAGTAGAGTAACATGACTTCTGTCCAAGGGACTCTTTTTTCTTTTTTTAATTTTTCCAGATTTTATTCAAACTATAAACTCTTGGATTGAAAAACTGCAATGAAGCCCAAACAGATTAAATACAAAGTCCAAAACCATACAAAACCAATTACTATATTATTTAGGAATAGATACATGTGTGGTAAAAAACAATAAATAGCAAAGGCAAGATTAAACAACATTTAGGATAGTGGTTATCTCTGGAGAGAAAAATGGGGAATTCATTTAAAATGTATTAGCAAATTCTTCTTCTCAGCTGATCTAAGAGGTGAATGAGTATTTATTTTTATTCTTCAAATTGAATATATACAAATATTTTTGCATGTATGAAAGATATTACAATAGATAGAAAATAAGTTAAGGAAGTTCATGAAACCTGGGGTCACCCTTAACCATGCCCTTAGAGACCAAATCCAATTAATTTTTAATACCCTTTCTTTCCACCCTGGCTCAAGCCACCTTTGTCTCACCTGAAACACTAAAATCCCATCCTCTCCCTTAAATTCCTACTGTAATCCAGTTTCTACACTGCAGCCTAAGAAAACACCTTGAAATGGGATTAACCTTGTCCCTTCTATAAGTCCTAGGCTCCAAATGCCTCCTGGAGGAGGGCTGAGGGGCCAGTGCAGTCTAAACCCCCTGCCCATGTTTTTAAAATCATGACCTCCCCTCACTCAGGGCTTGGGTGGAGGGCACTGGATGTCCACCTCTGGTACACAGAGGCCACTAGTGACATAGACCAAAGCAGCCAAGCAGGATGGGGTCAGGGTAGGGGTGGAAGGGCAGAGGCAGGCACAGCCAAGGCTATCGGGCTTCCCCAGACACCCAGCTCCTCTCCTTGGCAGCACTGAGCATTCAGAATGTTCTGCTCCCTCAGGAGGCAGGGTGCCTGCATGCACTTCTGAATCCTTAGTGTCCAGCACAGGGCATGACCATGTCTAAGAACTCGGAGGCATGGCAAACCCCCACAAGTACTTAAGGTCTGACTCAGGCACCTCCTTGAGATGTCTGTCTTCCCTGACACATCCTTTATTTGTCTTCCTGCTCTTCATCATTGGTCTGTACAGCCTTTGCGCTCTCTGCTTGGTGGGCCCGAAAAATACTGGTTGAATGAATGGAATCTTGCATGCTGACTCTCCTCCGAGCAGTTGCCAGATCCAGTGTTCTCTGCCTGGAATCCTCTTCCTTCTTCATTCACCTGCTCAGTTTATTCCAACAGCTGGAGGGATTACGAGATGTTACTGTTACTGGGTTCAAGGGTCACCTCCACCAGAAAGCCTTTCTGACCCTCCTTTTGGCAACTTCTCTTCCTGACTGCACTTAGGGGTACCTCTCAGCCCCTAGACCAAGGTCCCTTGAGCATAGAAACCAGACCTGATTTATGTCTCTGTGGCCACCACCTGGCCGTGCTTGGGACGGACTGGGTTCAGGAAACACCTACAGAAGGCACCATCTCTTAAGGGAGAGGCCACCTCTGGAACAGATATATCTGCACTTGATAACCTAGCCAAGTTCTTTTTTCACTATTAGCTTGCTGGTCAGTAAAATGGCCTGGAGTCCAGAAACACAGTTCTAAACTATCTGAGTTGCCAAGGCAGTCATTATCCCCTCAGCCCCAGGAGAGAACAGAGCAGGACAGGACCCTTAATATCGGATGCAAGAACTATATACTGAGGTTCTATTTGGGAGGTACAAGCCCAAGGTATTCAGATTGATAAAGGGGAAGTGAGGCAGGAGGGAATGGGATGTAATGCAAGGTAATCACCAGGCTGGGCACTGCAATGCCAGATCCCATGTCCCCATGGCAGGACATTCCATCCAAGTCTAGAAGTCATGGTGGGAAGAGACAGAAACTCTGGGCATGTGCCTAGTGAGTGCCAGAGAGTACCTGATGTGGAACATGTGCCGTGGCCAATACAGTCATTGTTTTCTCATTTTCCAGAAGACAAACAAGGCATAGTAATAAAAGACCTGTCCCAAGTTTGCATGGCTAGTTAGTGATAAATCCAGGATTTGAACATGTCTGGCTCTGGAAACTGGAAGACCAAGATAAAGAACTTGGATTTTATGTAGCAGGCAAAGGAGTCACTGGAAGGTTCTAAGCCTAATCTCTGCTGTGCGCCATTCTCCCATCTGGCTACACTCCAGCAGAAGTAGGTGGCCACAGAGAGGTCAGGGCATCCAAAACAGGTTTTGAGGAGTCTCTGACTGGGTCCAGGACTTCATTTGGGCTTCGACATTGCCTCATAATCTTGTACAGACTTCATCTAAGCTTCCATCCACCAAAGAGATGAGCTGGTCAGAGGCAGGCAGGATCCCAGGGAGGACCACCCATCTCTCCATCATTGGCCTGTGGGTCTCAGGGTCCTGGCATCTACTGATGAGTCCTTTGGTGTTGCTTGAGATGGTCAGATCTCATGAAGTGTCGGCCACACTGGCTACATTTATATGGTCGATATCTGGTGTGTATCCGTGTATGTCGTCTAAGCTCATCGGAACGGAAGAAAGACCATGTACATTCTTGCCAAATGCATTTTTAGGGCCTCTCACCTATGTGTTTGTGCTGGTGATTCACAAAGTGGGAGCGCTTGGTATAAGCTTTTCCACAGTTCTCATGCTGGCAGACGTAAAGCCTTAAAACTAAGGGTTTCCCTTCACGTGCCCCTTCCTGGGCCCTGGAGTTCGGGTCTGCTCTCTGTGGAGCAGGGATGGGCTGTTCAGGCAGGAAGACGCCTGCCTGGAAGGCTGGCTGACTCACAAAAGAGTCCTGTGATTCTAATGCCAGCAATGATTGGGACTCAACTGGGGACATCCAAGGTCAAGGGGCTCTCTGGGGGGCAACAGGGAAGAAGAGGGAAGGATTATGCTTCCCTCTCTGAGTCAGAGAGGGAAGCATAATCTGGGTCTCAGTGGAAGGTATGGTTGGGGCCAATAACATCTCAGGTGTGGAAGAGGCTCTGTTAGAAGATACTGTTAAGGGTTCAGAATTAGGCATTGTTGGGGCCCAGAAGTGGGACATCATAGGGTTTTTATTAGAAGCTGAGTCTGGCAATCCATTGGGGTATATCCTTGGATGCCCAGGGAAGGTCATGGCCACCCCTGTATTATTAGGCTCTCCTAAGGCCATTACCTGGGACCTCTTGTAAAGCATCTCTTGGTGGGAGGGAGACACTCCCTGACAGTAAGTCATCTGTGAAGGACTGGGAATTGCTTGGGTGCAGTAGTTCCTGCCATTCTCAGGTAATAACATATTGAACTGTAGCCCCACTTCATTTGCATTCTGCCTTGATACCTCGGCAGACACCAAGGGGGTCCCCGACACTTCTCTTCCCTGAGGAAAATGCTGCATGTCTGGCATGCCATGGTTCCCAGAGGTGTGCAGCCCACTGATTCCAGAAGGTAGAGACATGTCCGAGATGGACATTATGTTCCTGGGCGGGCTGGTGCATCCCGGGCCACTGGCTTAGCTCCTCAGCCTCCTGCTCCTCTGCCTCCTGCTCCATTTTGGCTTGGGGGGCCCAGGCCAACTCCAGACCGGATGAGAGTCCGCAACCAGCCACCGCGGACTTCGCAGGCAGGTGTCTCTGCTGTCTGTCTAAGGGACTCTTATCTGAGGGTGTAAGCCTGCTGTCCCTTTCAGGTTACTACCTGGTACCAGAGAGCTGTAATATTTTGCTAGTCTTTGCCCCTGCCTAAAGTACAAATACTCTATCACTGAAGATGCCATCGGCCTGAGCATCATTGTGAAAGGCTCTTTACCAGTTTCCCTACCCAAAGGTAATTAAATGTCTTTTCTCTGCTATATAATATTTTGAAAGGCATATCAAACTTATTAGAAATAAATTTATATGTAATTATGCCATAATAAAAGGACATTATCTTATTTAAATAGATTGAAGTAGACTTTTTTTATTTAAGAAAACTTACTGTTTCCTTTTTAACTTTGGAATCAGAAAGACCTGTGTTTGATTCTGCTTCTGCTATTTACTAGCTCTTATCTTGTATTCATTCATTCTCTGGGCCTCAGTTCCTCATCTATTTTTATTTTTAAATGGTGATAAAATGTCATCATAGCATCATTGTGGAAATAAATGAAGTTTTATATATATAAAATATTTGATACAGTGTCTAGCATATTACAGATGCTTGATAAGTGGTTGCTACAATTATTATTTCTGTTGTTATTACTGACTGAGACATGGAAATCATCTCATTAAAAATACCTAATCAGTGTTAATGATACTTATTAAAAGAGACCATACTCATTTCAGCTTCCAAAGTATCTGTTAAGCACCGCCCTTGGAAAACATGCAAATCTAAGCAGTATTTTTATTTTCTCTCTACTTGTTTTACATGAAACACATTTGGGCTGTTTTGGAGTTCTATTATATAAAAAAAATTAGCATATTCACTATGTTTTGTAGGTGGTTAGTCCTAGCTTATAATTTTAGGGGAAGGAAGTACTGTTTCCCAGTCTCTAGCAGCACTACCGCCTGTCATCACCTGGCAATGCCTTTACTTCTCCAGCCCGTCTTCCTGGGCCCTAGCTGTCCCCTGCCCTTCCTGGGGTTGGGGTTGGTGCAGGGGCCATTCTGTGTTCCCTTGTCTGCCTTGTGCCCACAATCTTCCTCACCCTGTGTGACTTCCCTTTCTTTTACCTATCCCTGTAAATACTCCCCTCTCCCAATAAAACTTGTGTGTGTTCTCAAAAAAAAAACCTATCTACATGGCAATATTCTTACCTCTTGATTCCTAAACACAAGTCTTTTAGCTATCCACAGTAACTCCTCATACACAGTGTATTTTACTCCAGGTCTGGAAGACATTTCTGATGTTTTCTAATAATTATTATTTATATTTTCTAGGTTTGAAGAAAAGGCCCAAATGGATCCCCTTAGTGCTCTGAAATATTTACAAAATGATCTTTATATAACTGTGGATCATTCAGACCCAGAAGAAACAAAAGAGGTAAAAAAAAAAAAAAGTAATAAACTTTAGAAATTGAATTTTTTTTTAATGTCTCTCTATATTTGCTGATTTCGCTTTTGAGTGTTGAAAGGAAAATGAAAATATAATATCAGTAATCTTTAAAATGGCACAGAGCAGGTGAAATCAAACTTAAATAGGCATATTTTCATGTGATAAGATTTAAATCACACAAGAAACCCTTGTTCCATCCAGAAAAAAATTTTTAGGTATAAAATTTTAACTTAGACATTAGTTTTGTATTTGGAAAGAAAATATAAATTTTTTATTTTTCCATAGTCCCATGGTTCTTTTACTTAAGGATTACTTAATAGTTTAATATAAAATACTTTTCTGTTGCAAGTCAAGATCATTCAAGAGAGAAAGAAAACTTTTTTTTTTTAGGGAGAAAGAGAGGAGAAGTTGGTGGGAGTAGAATCCATACTGCCTTATTTAGTTACGTGAATGTTGTAGCAATATAGCTTGACTACAGACTTTACTCATCAGTAGTTCCTAAGCTTGAGAAATCAGAAGCTGATCATTACTTTTTCAGTGTTTTATTACATAACATGGGATAGAAACAACTATTCGTAAAGATTTCATATTCTTAAGGCCTTATTTACTTATCCACCATGTATGAATATGCCTGTAATGAGTTTTCACAGTTTTATGGCCTCTGTTTCCACGAATTTCTGAGATTCCTTTTGTCATTTTATCCTTTTGCCAGCCATCCTTGTTCATCTAGCAGCATCTGAACTGCAGTCCCTTTTACCTTCCACTCGTATATCTGGTGTTTATTATATGCATTAATAGTCATGTCCCTTAGGTCTGTTCCCATGTGAGCTGTTGCTTTGCTTTGGCTTTATAACAGCAATATCAAGCAGTGCTTTTCTCACATTAGCATTGACAGAGGTGTCAGACTTAATGTTAGATCACTTTCAGGTACCAGGTTCCTTGTGCTTTCAAGCAACAGAGCCCACATGTCCTGAGAACAGAAACAAAGAGATACGCTTTCATAGTTATCCTGCTGTAAAAGTTAGTCCTATTTCTCTGACTCAGTGTTGGTTACAGCCCTTCACTAAGAGAATCAGCGGAACACACTTCAGAACCCCCCTGGAGGGGAACAGTTGTCTTTCCTTGACTCTTCAGTCAATTTGTGATACTATTGGAAATAGGGGAAGTTATCATAGTTTTGCTGAGTAGCAGAATATATTTGGTTTTAATGTTATGACTTGTAACTGTACACAGTTGTGAAGAGTCCATTAATGTTAATTTTGTCAGACCACATATTTGAGGGTTATATATAGATTTCCTTGTGTTTTCTCCATATTCTATATAAAATGACTATAACCAGGAACAATCATTTTCCCCTTATTTTTTTAAAACCAAACCAGAGCAAAATATTTCAAAGTAAATAATTTCAGTGTGTGAGCTACAGGTAGGCCACAGAAAATAGACAGCTTGTTCTTAAAGCTAAGCTAATGGGAAAGATTAGGACAGAGAGGTATGTCAAGTTCAAATGGAGCCATTTTTAAAATTTTGGTAGCTGGTTTCTGTTTTTCTTCTTTTAAAAATAATAATAACTTAAGATTTTGTATGCCACAGACTTCCATTCCATTTTGTAAAAATTAATCTATCAAGAGTTGTTTTAGCCCTAGTAGAAGTTAGTAAAAATGGTGTCGTATGTGTATGTCAGCAAGAGAACCACCTCAGAAACGTTTTCAGGATAATACCCTTGCCCTAAGATTTTCTTCTGTCTGCTCTTACATAAGAAAAAATGGGAAATACTCCTGACATTGAGAATTATTGGTCTTTAAGATTATTTTGTTTAAAAATGTGTGAACAGATTTAAAGAAATCCCCTGTCAACAGTTCAAGTATATACATACTTGCAGTATTTGTCAGTGAGCCATATAGAGCTTTACTTTCATTAGAGGAAATCATTTCATTCATTGAGAAAGGCCTTGGTGCTGTTCATTTCCTATAGTAGCTTGTTTTTTTTTTTTTTTCTATTTGTATGTTTTACAGAAATTTTATTATATTTTTTTCTCAGTAACCAAAAGGTTTTTGTAGAGTTTTTTTTATTTTTGCTATTATTATCATAATCATAATCATTGTGCATGTTATCAGGACAATGACAGTCAACTACCAACTATTACCAAAAAATGCTGCTTTGCTTCCTCAAGTCTCCATAACATGGATTCTAAATTGGTGCTGAACTTCTAATAAACCTCATAAGAGTGATTTTTTTTCTAGAAAAGGCCTGAGAAGAGGATGCCTAAATCAACTCTACCTTTTTCAGAGAAGACTATAATTGAGAAGGAATGAGAAAAATAAGTTTCCAGCCAGTATAGCACATTTTGTATTAATTGTGCTGAATTTCCAAAGTACTGGTGTCATTCATTTAACAGATGTGTATTGATTCTCTACAGTATGCCAGGTATTCTAGGCATGGAGGATATATCAGTGAACCAAACAAGATCCCTGCCCAGGAGGTGCTTAACATCCTAGTGAAGGAAGACAATAAACATTAAATAAGCAAATTATGTGGTAAATTAGAATTTGATAAGTATTATGGAAAAACAAAAACGATTAAAAGGATGAGGGGAGATCAGAAGTACAAGAGGTAAGAATTAGGTAGTTGCAGTATTAACTAGATGATCATAGGCCTCATTTAGAAATGTATTTACACAAAAATTTGAAGGATGTGAGGGAGTGATCTAAGCAGATAGATAGGTGAAGATAATTTCTGACAAAGGGAGGGCTAGGACAAAGATCTAGGGGTGGGAGCGTTCTGATGTGGTTTAGTAGAACAACAAGAGGCCATGGTGCTGAGGTAGAGATAAGGGTGAGAGCAGTCAGAAATGAGGTCAGAGGTAAGCAGAGATTGGAAGAACAGACTGAATGGCTTCATGAGCCATTGTTAGGATTTTGGCTTTTACTCTGAATAAATAAGGAATCTGTGCAGGGTATTATGCAGAGGAATGATGTGATCTGCTTTAAATGAGATGACTCTTGATTACTATATTGAGGGGAATGAGGATGGAGACAGAGAGACCTGATGTTGTAGAATATAAGCAAGGAATTACTGTAGCTCAGACCAAAGTAGCAGCAGTGGGGTGGTGAGAAATAAACTAGATCAGATTCTCAATATATTTTAAAGGTAGAACCAACAGAATTTTATGATAGATTGGATATAGAGTGTGAAGAAATGACTCCAAAGTCTTTGGCCTGAAAAACTGGAAGGATGGGGTTACTATCAACTGAATGAGAAGGCTCTGGATGGAGCTTTTTTTGTGACAGTAGGTAGGGACTCCTTACTGGGCTTGAGTTTGATTTCAGATATGTTCAGTTTGAGATACCTATGAGATAGCCAACTCAAGATGTCAAGGTGACTGTTGGATGTTCAAATCTGGAGTTTGAGAGAGAGGTCTACAATATCAGTTGGTATATGTTAAAATCATAGGCCAGTCATACAATTCCATTTATTTAATCAGATTGTTAAAATAACTGTTTTCTCTCCTTCCTTCTGTATGTGGAGCCAATAAGTTTATTTTTTACTTTAGGAGTTAGGAAAAAGGAACAATTAAGCCTCAAGTAAGTAAAAAATAGGAAATTAGTGAAATAGGGAAAAAAAATACAGAAAATTTAAAAAGCAAAAAGGTGGTTTTTTGAAAGGTAAATAAAACTGATAAACCCCTAACAAGACTTACCAAGAAAAAAAAGTGAAAACATAAATTATGAACATCACAAATGAAAGGAGGAAATAACTATAAACCCTATATACATTAAAATAGGTAAATATTATGAACAATTTCATCAAGATTTAGCAACTTTATGAAATTGACAAATTTTTTTGACCAATATTTAAAAAGACATAATTTACCAAAACTGACACAAGAAGAAATGGAAGAATCTTAGGGAACCCCATAGCTGTTACAGAGATTGAATTTGTAATAGGAAACTTTTTAACAGGAAACTCCAGGCCCAATATATCAATAATTTCTATGAGCCATTTAAGGAAGAAAAAAATACCAATTCTACATAGACTCCTGAAAATCAAAGATATACCCTTCCTAAATCTTTTTATGAAGTCAGCTTAACTCTGATATAAAATCCCAATAAATACATTACAAGCAAAGAAAATTATAGACCAATATCCTTCATGAATAGAGATTTTAACATTTGGAAAACAGTGCAATTCACCATGTTAACAGAATAGAAGAGAAAAACCATAGATCATCTCAGTAAGTGAAGACAGGCATCTAACAATATTCAGACCCATTCATGATAGAAATTTTTAGTGAACTAAGAATGAGAGGAAATCTCATAAAGAGCATCTGTGAACAGCATACAGCTATGATAATACTTAATTGTGAAATATTAAACCCTTTCCCATTTTTATGACAAGGAAAGAATATATGCTGTTAACACTATTTAACATTGTACCAGGAGTCCTAGCTAGTACAAATAAGGAAAGAAAAAGAAATAAACAGCATATAGATTGGAAAGGAGAAAGTAAATTTTGTTTGCATTTGTAAGTGATAAGTGTGTACACAAAACCCTATGGAGTATACAAAACAATATACTGAGGACAAGTGATTTTTGGCAAGATTACAGACTATAAGGTCGATAGGGAAAAAAGCAATTATTTTTATACTATCAGTGAACAATTATAAAATGAAAACTTAAAAGCATACTGTTTATATTAGCATCAAAATGTATGAAATACGTAGCAATATCTGTGGTAAGAAGTTAAAGAAGACCTAAATAAATGAATGATACATCATATTTATGGATTGAAAGACTGCAAATTGTTTAAAGCTGCACATCCTCCCCAAACTGGTCTTTAATTTCATGCAATCTCTGTCAATATTCTGGCAAGTTTGGTTTTTGTTGTTGACACTAAGGAAATAAACACGCTAATTCTAAAATATATATGGAAATGTGAAGGTTTTAGAATAGCCAAAACAATTTTGAAACAAGAAAAACAAAGTCAGAGTCTTAGTACTACCTGATTTCGGGACTTTGTATAAAGCCACAGTAATCAAGGCAATGTAGTACTGGGTTAAGGATAGACAGATAGGTCAATAGAACAAAAGAGTCCAGAAATAGACCCATGTATATGTGATCAATTGGTTATTTCACCAGGGTGCCAAGTCCAATGGAGAAAGGGAAGTTTTTGATGAATGATACTGAATAACTAGATATTTCAACCCCGACATCGCTCTTTACACAAACATTAATTCAAGTTGGATTACATATTTAAACTTAAAATCCTGAACAATAAATGTTTGAGAAGACAGGAAATTATTTTCACAACCTTGAGATAGGAAAAGATTTCTTGAACATGACACAAAAGGCACTAATAAGAGAAAAAACTTGATAAACTGGATTTCAACAAAATTAAAGTTTCTGCTCATTAAAAGACATTTTACAAATAAATAAACAAGCTGCAGATTAAACTATTTGCAGTAGATATATCTGACAAGGACTGATACCCAAAATATATGAAGAACATATTTTTTTTAACTCTTCTTTTTATCTCCCTTTTTCCTAACTCTTGCTTAGATAGATACCTCTGGAATGTTTGTCCAATTTTTGACCTTCAAAGGACATTAGTCAGGACTCCCAGATATTAATGTGACTAATGCCTGAAATTTTAAAGGCTGCAAACATAGATGTATAATACATCCTGAGCGGTTGGTGGTATCAACTGTTCAAGCCTAACGAAGTGCCAAATAACTCCATTGATGTTCCACTTGTTTGTCTTTTCTTACTCAATGCTTTAACTTGCCTTTTTCCAGCATCCTCATTCAAAATAAATATCAGTAGTTCTCCTAAATTTTTATTTTGTACCAATTTGTTAAATTGCTAGTGTTGTAATAGTTTTGCTTAGGGTGTCCCAATAGTCACCATACATGGTGACATGGTGACATGTATGGTGACTTTTGGGACACCCTGTAGTTCATCATTGTTTAAGTACATTGTCTCTTTTAAACTAATTTTAACTGGCTAGCCTGGGAATCTAATGAACAATTACAATATTATTTCCACTAGAAAGGCCTTTGAGTTTTAGCAATATAATTGTACGTGATTATGGGATCCCAATATAAATTGTAATTTAAGATGATCTGTACATGCATATTTCTCAGTGTTTGATTTACATTGCTGAAACATCAGGTGTTTTACAGTGGCATGTATTTATTTTTGAGGTGAGAGTATATATATATATACTAAAAATTCAGTAACTACCCAGGGTACCAATCTGTCCATATATGATAGATTCCCAAATGAGTAATTTTTAAAAATTTCATTTGTACAGTTGCTTCTTAATAAATATGTAATAAAATAATTCCAGGAAGGCCAGCATATTCCTTAATCTAAATGTGTTCTTCTTGCCACTGTCTGGCAGATAGACCTAGGTAACACATGTACAGAAGTATACAGTGGCTAATAAATAGTCAAAGTTATAAAAGTTATTTTTCTACTTAGCCAGCTAATTAATTTGCCTTTTTTTTTTTTTAAAAACAGTTTCAGCTCCTAGCATCAGCTTTATTCAAATCTGGTTCAGATTTTACAGCTCTAGGTAAGTACTGCAATATAATTTATGCAGCTAGATACCGTAGTATTTGGGAGGTTGAATTATTGTTTTTTTTTTAAATGAAACATGAAGTGAAATATCTCAGATAAATGAACAAATGAAATTTCAAAGTAGTGTGTAAAATTTCTAATAATTTGCTACAAAATTACTTTCTGGTCATTCAGTTCTTGGGTCAGTTTGCTACTCTTACACCAGGTGCCGTTTTAGTGTGCAAACAGATGGCAATAGAAGCACATCAAAATAAATTAATTAGTTAGCACTGCTTTTAAATACAGAATGTATTACTGATATACCAGTAGATGACACCTATTGGTTGAATGGTTCTTCCTCTCCGTTTATTCTTTGTGGAATGTGGTGTCAAGAGAGTGGTTATAGGGTAGGTAATAACATTAATGTTTTGGGAGCAGAGAAAATGAATTATCTCTTTCTTAAAAATTAGAATTTTCGTTTGTTGTTATTTTAATTGTTCAAGATAACTTCTAGTTGAAATAAATTCTTCTCAAACACCTCAGATATAGGTATCAGTCTTCATTTAGTAGTGCTCTCATTTAGTATTAACAAATTATTAAAGTAGTTAAACTAGACTGTAGTAAAATAGAGAGGTCTGTAGAAGTTCCAGAATCTAGAGTTAGGTGGATGAATTTTCAAGGATATTTTCATTAGAATAATTTATTATTAGTAGCTTCAGTTTTTTACCAAGATAGCAAGCAGTCTTTTGAAGTGTGGGAATTTCCAGCTTTCCTCGTCATTATAAAATGTAGTTACACGGTGAATATATATTAATCCTATTCATGCTGGTGCTATTACTTGCCTTAGTGTTGAGTAATAGTATTGAAAATTTTTGAGTATATGTAATATAAATACAATTCTTTATTTTTGGAATAAAATAACACTTTGGGATCTCAGTTTAATTTCTTCATTATTTGTCCTTTTGTCTTCCTAAAGATTAAGTATACCTCAAAGAAAAAAAAGAGTGTATATAATTCTGGTGCTTTTCACTGGGATGAGAAAGAATAAGAGTGTTTCTTGGGCTCTTGCCCTCTGTTTTTCCATAGCAAGTAATTGAGGCTTCTCTAGGCAACTCCTTCTCAAGTTGCCTTCTCAAGGCAACTCCAGTTCTAAAATCTAACTCCTGAATATGTAGGATTCCACAGGCCTAGGCTGAGCACATTGGTGTAAAACATGACTCCAATAGGTTCTCCTAAGAATTTAGATAATGGTTTACCTATTCCATACACTTAAGGCCTTGAAAAAAAATATCTTTAGGCTACTAGAAATCACAACCCTGTGATGATGGAGAATGTAGGTATAAGCATTATTTTAGGAAGTTCATGCCCTTCTGAATTCTATCACTTGAAACCGAGACATAGTGATACATGAACTGGGAGCCTGGCACATAGATAGTCAGGTCGAATGAACTTGTGCCTTGTTATGTATGGATAACACAGCCCAGGGCCATTATTTTTATTTATTTTATTAGCTCATTCTCTAAACCACTAAATTTCTCTGGCTGACTTATTTTTAGCCTTTAGAACAAGAATTATGTTAGGGTGGTGTCAGCAAATATTTTACCTTCAGTTTAATTCCTTTCTTTGGTCCCTACCCGATTTACTGCCAGCTAATATATTTTGTCAGGAACAGTTTGTTTTACTTGGATTCTAAACAAACCTCAGATACACTGAGAACAATACAAACACAGTAGGGAATATTACAAAAAGGGAAAATTCCTGTGGGGTTTGTTTGCTACCTTATCTGAAGGCAAGCAGTGTAGCTTAGTAGTTAAGAGGCTAGAGTATAGTATAGTGGGTAAGAGTCAGAACCTAGGTTCAAATACCAGGTCTGCCACTTGCTTAATTTTGAAAGTGACTTTAAGCAAGTTACTTAACCTTCCTAATCTTCATCCATAAAATGGAGGTCATGGGAGTACTTACTTGAAATTGTTGAGAGAATTAAATAAAAAAATTCTGGAAAACATTTAGCATACTAAAATACTTAGTAAATACTTTATTCAGGGTACTATTATTATTATCTGCCTTAAAAATGTAATCTTCTTTGTAATATTGTTGAATTTGGATGAGAAGCGTAAGTTTCATGGCTATTTAGAGTTCCTGGTTCTTGTTCTCATTAATTTTTTTGTCAGACTCTTGTGTCTTTATGCCAGTTAGAATAGAAATAAAATGGGGGTTATTTACCTGTCATTGTATGGATGAATATTTCATTTTCTAAACTGCAAAAAAACCCACAAAACCTCACCCAAACTTTCTACTGACTCCCTTCAAAATTATTCCAATTTATGTTAACCTCTTGGTGGTAATTAAAGTGTTAATGTTATGTGTAATACTTTAAAGAATCAGAAAGATGAAAAGTGATTTAAAAACACCTGGCATTATTTTAGTTTTGGAAAAATGACTGACTTCAGAGAAAAATAACCTCTGAGGATCTTTATTTTAGAGCTTGTGGTGGCTGTCGGCACTTTAAGATTGAACTCAGTCATATTGCTAATTTTAAGAGCTGTGTCTTATTTCTACAAAGTATGCATTGGAGCAATTAATCTTATTTTCAGCAAATTATGTGACAAGTAGGAAAAATCTGGTCTCTAAAGCATGTTGCCTTTTCAGTTTTAACACCTCTCTGTAGAAGTTTAAGGTCCAAATATGATGTGCAAATATGAATTCAGACAAATGTTTAAAACATTTTCTGCCTGAAGTATAGTGCATTTTGGCACTCCATTGATATTTGTCAATTAGAGACCTTAAGAATTTCATAGCATTTGCCTATGCCCTTTTAACCTTATACTTTTGCTATATCCACCAAACTTAGATTTCAGCAAGATGCTTTCTTCAGCCTCCTGTCTGTAGCCACATGTTTACAGGGGCTTTTTATATAAAATAAAAAGTTTAGTATTAGAAATAGGAAATATAAATTTAAAAACTTATATGCCAGGAGACACATGAGAATTTTTGCTATTTCTCTTTTACCATAAATAGGAAAAGCCAGCTATTCCGTGTATGATAGTAAAAGTATATATATTCCTAGCCAGGCGCTGTGGTGTGTGCCTGTAGTCCCAGCTTCTCAGGAAGCTGAGGTAGGAGGACCACTTGAGCTCAAGAGTTTGAGGCTAGCCTGAGTACCATGGTGAAACCCTGTTTCTTTAAAAAAAAAAAAAAAAAGTATTACGTCACTTTCTTTTTAGAGCAATTTTTCTCTTCCTTCATACTAGTAGTTAGATATAATCATAGCTAATGAGTATTTATTGAGCACTCACTATGGGCCAAGGTGCTATTCTAAGCACTTTGTAATAACTTCTTTAATCCCCACAGTAACCCTATAAAGTACCTACTATGTGATCCCCTTTTGTATATGAAGAAACTAGAGCACAGAGAGTCTATAGTAACTTGCCCAGGAAAAGTGCCAGAGAGTGGCAAAACAGGATTCACACCCTATCAGTATGGCTTCCGAGCTCATTCTCTAAACCACTAACTATGCTACCTCTCAGTGAGCTTTACCAGTTTCCATTACTCTGAATAGTTAGTTAGAAAGTGAGAGAGACATAGTGATAAGGAACATGAGGTTTAGAAGCAATATAACCTTTTCATCCTAGTTTTGCCATTTAAATTGTTCTGATACTGTTGATGAGTTTCCTAGATCCCTACTCCTTTTTAATTTATTTTTTAAAAAAACATTGACTACAGATAAAGATTAAGATTCTCCTTAACAAGTTCCCACAATCTGTATCCCCTACCCCCAAGTATAATCACCCATATCTGCCATGTCTGGTAGATGTTTACACACAAGTTTACACATACACACAAAACCATACACACGGATGTACAAGATTGATTCTCATTATTCAAAGTAGTTGTGTTCTAATAGTCACAGGGAACCCTGAATTAGTGAATACAGAATCATTGCTCAAATGGGAAATACAGAGTTGTGTTCTGGTGAGCCTCTGGTCATAACATTTTATCTGTTGATCAGTATATTAGCTTGTCTTTTAAAAAAATTTCAGCATATTATGGGGGTACAAATGTTTAGGTTACATACACTTTCCTTGCCCCACCCAAGTCAGAGCGTCAATCGTGTCCATCCCCCAGATGGTGCGCCTCGCGCTCATTATGTGGGTATGTTACCTTGTTATTAAGTATTTTTCTGTTTACAGATTCCTTATTTAATATATATTGTTGATTCATTAACATTGAGCTCATGGTCAGCAGCAACCACTATACCTCATACGTAAGGAAACTTATTTAACATACATGTTTTCTTTGTAAGGCACATGCCTTCTTGCACTGAAGAACATTAGAAAGCCCTTCAGCACTACACTTGGGCATTTTAAATAGTGAAGTCACCAACAAAAAGCACAAAAATGTGAAAAATGTGGCACCTAACAGACCATGAAAGGACAGTTGTTTATATTAAGGGAGCTAAAGCAAGAAGGCAGAGCATCACATTGTTCAACTTGGGGATGTGTGTATGTGTGTGTCATCTCAAATATTTTACCATTCTACACATGTCTATGAATGACTGCAGAAATGCTACAGGTTCTTATTTTGAAGTTAAAATTAATTTTAGTGACCAGTCGAATTCACAAATATGGAATTAGTAAATGATCAAGATTAACTGTATATATGCTTACACACACTCATATAAATATATAGCTTTGTATGTGCTGGTTTTATTTATTATACAAGAACATTCTGCAACATAATTTTTAAAAAGTTAATGATGTGGCTTGAAGATATTTTATGAAACTACATCAGATCTGATATATTCTTATGAAGTGATACATAATTATTCCATAACAGATTTACTGTAATTTAGCCACTCATCTAATGATAGTTTAAATTTCAATTTCTTCATTGGTATATAGTGAATAAAAATAAAAGATGTACTTTTGAGGTAAAATGAGCTTTTAGCACATTGTCGTACAACTTAAGTACCCAATAACTACGAGTTAATAATAGATAAAGGGGCTTTGGAATCAGACAGACATGGGTTCACATTCTATCTCTTCCCTCACTAGCTGTGAGACTTTATTAAATTACTGAATCTCTTTAAATTGTCTCATCTGAAAGTGAAGTTTATGATACCTGCTTCATTGTTTTTGTGACAGTGTAATGTGCTCATGCATAAAGTACCTAGCCCTCAGTAGAAACTCAGTGTTTTCTGCTCTCTTAAATATTTGATGTCATGAAAATGGCTTTGCTTC